GTGGTGTTGCTGCTCAATGCTTATGGAACTCCATGAAGCAGTTTTTTTTTCAGGAGTGAAGCACAGCTTTGTGCACTGCACTTCCACTATACCCTTACATCCAGGGTATTTGCACCTGCCCTTTTTCTCCACCCAAATAGGTCAATGGTCAGTGTTGTCCTGACGCACAGGTGATGATGGCACTGGCATCTTCATCACTAATTAATTCTTATTCAACTTCACTATGCTCAACTTGAAGTGTGATTTCTACCCTCTACCTCCTTAAAGGGGTATAGAATGAGGCTAAATTAATTCTGTAAATGGAGGAAAATGTGTGGAAATTATAAGCAAATAAGTAGTTATAAGGCTTAATAAGGAAAGGTTCACTGTGGCCTACAGAGTATAGTAATAGTCTGAACTTTACTGCAACAAACATCAACTTTATCTTTGTTAAATTGTAAAGATCAGATGCTTTTGAACATTATATTATGATTTGGACATTAGTATATATACCTAAACACACACTACCAAAGTCTCATGCTGCCATAGTGACTCCATAATGGTTCACTGTTGCCTCAGAGCAACATATGCAATTGTCCATAATGGCACGTTGTTGCCTCTGGGCAACAGTTGCATTTTAACAAGTTTCTATTATTTAATTAGCAAATAATGTTTTCAGACCCTTTTTGTGGCACAAAATGGCAAAGCTGTTTCCTTTGAAAAAGTCTGCAAAAAAGGGTTTCAATATGGCTTACTGAAAGTCATGTGACAAATTAAAAGCATTGTTATTGGTTCCCTATGGTCTTCCCTCTTTTTTAAAGTATAGTATCATTCCAAAAGATGCATTGTGGAGATCTGACAGGCCAAAAATGGGTGTGTTGCCTGAGGGCAACACAATACCATGGAGGGTTTTCACTGAATAAAATTATGAATTTCTCTGGGTTTGAACATTGTTGGAAACATCTGGGACAATGTAAGTACACAACTCAACAAAATATATAACATAGGTCTAGTTTTTCTCTACATTTTAATGCGGAAATGTTACATATTAATTGGTCAAGTATGTAAGCCAAAGTAAATTTTGGCCAGATGGTGGAGTCACCAAAGGGAACATTAATGACCGTAGTACATTTCATGACAATCTGTCCAATAGTTGTCAAAGGATTCACCATATAGATTAATCTCCTTGAATATAAAAGTTTACGGCAATCCATCTAATAGTTGTCTGATGATTGTTGTTGATGACTAAAACCCATCTTACACTCTAAGTATAATATATAATAAATAAGTAAAGCTGCAATATCCCAAAAGTCTGTGATAATAAGGTATAATTGCGGCACCTGCGGGGATAAACCGGCCATAAGTATTAATTAAATTAACAACAATTAAATTTGGTTACAGAGAAACATTCTCTCCTGACACACTGTAAAACACCGCACTTTCACCAGCTGAGTTTTGTCCAGCACATAGAATCACTCCTTTAAGGCAAGCATGTGAGATGTGTGTGCACACAGATTGTCCTGTGAAACTTTATTTGTGTAATGTTGTTATCTTTTGGCCAGCGAAGATTTTCCACAGCTACCGAGATAAAAGGGTTCCATAATAAACTTTTCTTCCACTTCAGTTCACTCTGTTACCTGAAATAGTTGGTGCTGAGCTCCGAGCTCACAGGCAGTCTTTCTCGCACACAGAGTCCCAGATCCACAGCAGGGTGTGTAGAGTATCTGTCTGAGGATGAAGTCAACAGGTTGTTCAGCACGAAACCCACATTTTATCTGCAAGATGTAACACCATCATTGTGTGGTTTATGCAGTATCGACTGGTTTCTTACTGCAGTTCTGTCTTCACTGAGAAAAAGTGGTGAAAAGCAGAAAGAGAAGAGAGCTTTTTTTTCAATGCTGAAAAGCAAAGTACTTGGATGCAGCACTGTTAGTTTAGCTCAGAAGAATACCATTTCTGAAAACTCTGAAGTGGTGTATTTATATTATTTCTTTAAGTCTCAGAGGTTATTGTCCAACACCTGAATTCTCACCATAAAAGCCCTAAAAGATTCAGAGCCTTCCAGACTACTGCAAAGAGAAAGTTCAATATTAGTTCAGAGATTATAAATTGGAGAGGAGAAATGGGCATATTGTGAAATGGTCCTTACTATCAGTCAAAGAGACACTAACCCCATCATTAAATGAAAACTGGCAAATTCCAACTCTGTCTTTTGAGGATCTCTCATTAAAATCCTCTTATCGTAGTGGAGGGGTTTCAGCTTCAGTGGAGCAGCAGCGCTCGTGATAATGACTTTAGTGACATTGCAGCATTTCTCTGCATATTATAATGTCCATCTGTAAAGGTGATTTAAAATAGCCCTGAGTGCTCTGCTTCACTTAATGGTTTCATTCATGAAGCCCACACAAACAAAGCCAAAGAGGAGAGAGAAATGGATTACAGTGGAAATGAAACTGGAAGGTTTCAGTTATTAAAAGGATCTTCATATTTGCCTCGGAAGCATATGTGATGGCACACTCCATCTAAGTTAAACAAAGTATACAGTTCATATGTGCGTGAAGAGTGAGTACAGTGCTTCCTGCTGAAGAATCTTCAGTATTTTAAGTTGCGACTGAGACCAGTAAATTCCCCATCGAGATAGAAAGCATGACTTGATTGGGAATATGATTTTAAAATAACATGATTGTTGAATAAATTGGCCACATGACATCTGGAGCATGTCTCCTATTGTTTGTCTTTCAAGTATTAATTATTTTGCAACATGTTACCATCCGGTTGGCTACTGATGATCAAGAAATGTGGCAAAATTTAAATACAAAAAAAAAAAAAACACGACTATACATTTTGAGTGGGAAACTGGAGCAACATTAAACTTTACCTGCTTATGAATACTGTCAAAACATGTGGGAGATCCACTATACATCCTCTAGTTCACAGACATGGAGGGAATTCTCCTATATTTCTTTATTATACCAAAGGTGAAAAGTAAGCAAAAAAGCCATTTCAAGGACCTGGGGGAATGTAGCACCTTCAAAATTAGTACTGAAAATTCTTTCCCAATAAAGATCTAAATGGAACCCCACCCCACAAAAAAAACAAAAACTTCACCTGCCTGGGGGAGCAACAGTAGATATTTTTATAGCCTTAATGTCACACTTACCTCCTGTCTCATTTCAGACCACTTCACTTCCTGCCTGTGTGTTTCCCTCCATTTTCTTGCTCCGCCCCAATTGGTTTCACCTGTCTCCTTATTCCCCCTCACCAGAGTTTTTAATGTGTGTGTCCTCTTCACTCTGTAATATATACAGTTATAAGACCCGTTTATGTAGTATGGACTGTCTTTTATGTTATCATCAGCATCAGGAGATGCAATATTGTAGATATTGTGTGTATTGTATGCTTTGACAGTGTGTTGTATGTGATCATGGACACACCTCCAGGAGAGCTATGAACTATCATTTAATTATGGGCTGCTCACTTGCTCATGTTTGATATGTCCATGTCAATGAAATGTCGACTTTTTAATAAATCAATGCAGAGGTGATGAGTGTGTGCGAGAATTCACTTTTCTCTTAGGAATCCTCATCACTCAAGCTTTTTCTTAGTACCTTAGTGCCTTTGCTCTTCTTGTGTCTAGTTAATTCCCAGTTTTTGGATTATCTGCCTCCCTCTTTCCTAGCTCTGCCTGGCCTCTCCCATACTGGATTGTTTGCTGAACTCTGATTATCTGTCTACCAAACCCTTTTTTGGCAAGTAAAGACATTGAATTTTTCCACCAAAAACTGTTTCTGAGTCATGCTTTTGAGTCCAGTTGCTTGTTTTTTTTAAACACTTTATCTGTAAAAATGTTTCCAACACGGTCTCATAATAAATCTTTTTTGCCTCAAGCGGGCAAAAACATCTCTGGGAGAAAATCTGGTGGAAAATCTTGTCTTTTTCAATGTGCCTTGTGACTACGTTCACGATAACTGGTGGACACCATGTGCAACACAATTCAACTATAAGATAGGGTACAAAATCCAGAGTCATATTTTGTGCAGAAATGTATCGTAAAGGTCAGCTAAGGCTGAAATGAGGCTTCAGCTTTCTGAGTTAGACTAATCAAGTACGTATCTTGCAAAGTTAAAGGTACCGTTTTATTAGTGCAGAATTCCCTCTTTGTGTCTCTGTCCCTCTGCAGCAGTGCAGCAAGAGAACACTGTCTGGGGAAACATTGAGGTGGACTTTTTTCAGCTAAAAACACAAAGGTTGGAAAATGTTCTCATTTAGACTGCTAAAGCAGAACTTCCCAAACTTTTCTATTCCAAGGCCCCCCAAATAATTAATATCTATTTTCTAAAATTATTTTTTTCATCATATAAGCTTCAGCTCAAGTTTCGAAGAGGACTGTGGATTTTGTCCCCCATCACTTGTTGTTGTTGTTAAGACCTACTTGAAAAAACCTATAGTTTGAACCCTTTGCCCCCATCTGCCTGCCAACAGTAATATGCTATACCAAAATAATGCGGTTATTTGGCTGAGAAAGCTGTTTATCTGCTGCTACCAGTCACTGTATAGTAGTGCTGCAGCTCATCTCTGTATAGAGGGTTGATGTCTGCCTCTGTAATTTTCACAGCTGGTTCTGCTGCTACAGAAAGTATATCTTTATCTAGAAAAGACAACACAGTGTGGGTTTCTGTAAGGGATCAAATAAAAATAAATGCTGCTAAAGATTGCTGTCTAGCCAAAACAAATCCAAAGCACTGATGCAGGAATCTACAGACTTCTGAAAATCCAAACACTATTGTCATCATGTATCCAAAGACTGCTTCATAAACGGATGAGTGTGCGCCAGTACCGTTTGCATATAAATCACAGGCTGAAAGAAGTAATTAGGATATTTCCCCACACTTGGCTTTGTGAAATCGTCCATAAAAGATTGATGATATCTTATAATTTAATCGAGTCCTACTTTTTTAAAAGAAAATGAATTATAATCATTTCCACCAATTTCTTATTATAAATAATGGTAACACCTTTTCCCTCCTGTGTTTTATTAAACAACACTTATGTACAAATATATTCATTACAGGACATGTAAAATAGTACATCTCAACATGGTGTAAATGGCTTTGGGTGCATCTAGTACAAATATCCAAACTCCACTACAATACTGTACGTATTCACACAACACTGAGTAAACACTTTCAAGCATTTGAAACATTTTTTTGAACAAAGCTTTCCTTTTAATTGCTCATGTTTTCTTCACTAATGTAACTGAGCCATCAAATGACACATTTCATCATCACTTTTGTGAAGACTCTGGTCCAAATGCAGCCATGTAAACCTTTAAGCTGAGGCCCTTAAACCCACCAAATTCAAAGGACAATCATGCAGTTCCCTGAGAGGTAATACCATCTTACCTACTTTGGCAGCCAGTCCTTAGTCGGAGGTAAGTGAGCAGAGTCACTGTTTGCCTTAAAAGCATTTCACCACAGACTCTCCTTTTCAAAGAGAGTCCCATGGGACAACCAGGATCTTGCCTTAGAAAAGGGTCTACACAGTCCACAGGTCCTCCTCTGGTCATAGGCAGTCTCTGCACAGCGCCACCTGGCCGTTACGATAGTCCCTGCAGGGGCAAAGGCGCTGGTATTTGGCGCTGGAGCCGGCACAGCTGAACAGCAGCGGGTCCTGCTGCAGGCTACACTCAGCATGCTCTGCTGAGAAGGCGGGGAAGAGGTGGTTCATCTCGGACTCCAATCCCTCACACTGGAAGTCCAGCCTGGAAAACAAGGACAGGTTTTAAGGGTCTTAATGATTATTTCACTAACTTATTTAATAATAATGTTAGCAAGAGTGCCAGAGGGTATTAATTATTATTCCACTAATATATTTACAGCACTGAGGCATGACCCTGTGTGGTGGTTAGTCAAATTTATTATCATTGCAGGATGAGCTCCTTAAGATGCATTTTTTCAATTTCAAAAAGGCCCTGACGAGGCTTTTCACAACATAATCAATAACGTGGAACGTGCACTGGGCAAGGACACAGTTTAAGTTTTGTATTGAAAGAGGGCCGATGCACTGTCACAATCATGGAGATAAAAGTACCTTTGCATTAAAATGTACGAAGATCTGTTACGATTGTTTTTCATTAAAAACACTTATCTGCACATTTAACTGAACCGTGTTGTCTTTCAATAACCATGTGCCAATAGGAACCAATTAAAACATCAAAATTGTTTTGGGGCCAAATTGTGCATGATCATTTGACTAATGATCCCAATGAAGAAACATCTTACGCGCTGAAGGCCTCTTTAATGTTGATGAAACGATACAAGGCGGGTTCGCAGATTAGTCCTGCATTCTGGCACGCCTTTACACACGACTGGTCCTCCAGCGAAGCCAAAAGCCGCAATGCGCTGAGGGGTGGCCAGGATGTGTAATAGCTGGCGTTAGGGGCCCAGGTTAGGATGCTGGAATTAGGCAGGAGGATGAAAGGACTGGGAGGGCTGCCCAGCCAAGCGCCAGATGAGTTTACCGGAGGAAACGGAGCTTCAGGTGAACAAAAGTCCTGCAGGTACAAAGATAAAATGACTCCCATCAGTTATATTTTTGGGGTCATATTGCAACACTTTGACCTGTCAGCTAAAATAAATACTATACACCACAACAGAGCAGTGACAAATTATACATTCAGCAAAATATACAACTTCTGGACAGCTGATACAGGAAATAATAAAAGAACCGCTACAGTACAAAAGGTGCTTATCAGAACTGACAACTCCTCGTCAATCTTCCAGGAAATGATATGAATGCAGTTATGCCACCCAATAACAAATGAGGTCTGGAGGCAGAATTAGGCTCTGGTGAGAGCCCTGATTAGATTCCCCCTCCAGCTGGGGCTATTCATAAGACCCAGGTAATAACATTTCTCTGACATGTCCCACTGGCCTCCAGACCCGTTTATTAAACAGGCTCCTAGTGCCCGCAGGCAATAACTAGGCTTCCAATCTCTCCATCTCTGCTGCACTTCCACTCCTAAACACAGTCAACATCCGTGACACACACAGAGTGCAGAATTTAAAGGTATGGAAACGGGCAAGGTTAAGATACTGATATTGTAATTACATTTTTTTTTTTTTATTCAACCAAACAGTGTATTTTCTATGTGTTCATGCATTTGGTCCCAAGTATTATTTTCTCTTTTGATAATTGTGACTGTTGACAAGTTACACACTTATTTAAGCATTAAACCTTGTGTGATTATAGCAACTTTAAGTTATGTCTTTTTGATACTGTCCAATCCTGCACATAGAGAACATGGAAGAAAATCAGAAACAAACATCAGTCTTATTTTTGTAGAATCGACGGTAATATTTTAGTCTGGACGAGAAACGTGCAGTCAGAGGATCACACATGCTGGAAAGAACCATGTCACGCACTATACATGCACACACAATTAGAAGAGAACATGCAGGCAAAAGTTATAACTAAACTGTCTTAATCATACATGAGACCTTGTCACTTCCTCATATCACTACTTGCTATTTTACAGCCTGTGTGATCGTCTGACTAGCTGTATTAGTCCTACTGGACTAAGTTCTAGTGACGTTGCATTCCCAGATCTCACTCTTAAGGTGGTGAGTCAAGTGTTGTGAGAATATATAAAATTTGATGGCCCAAACTTTGTCAATAAGACCAATAATCAAAACTAACCCATTAACTCAAGGACAAGCACAGTGTCCCAGTAAGTCA